GTGTCGAGGCCTTTCTGCATTGTTGTAAGGAGATGAAAAGACAGCGAGCTGAGAGGAAGGAGGACAACCTCCAACTGGCTCGCAGTAAGAGACAGGGACATGGGATGGAGGGAGGGCTGGGTGGTTACTATCCATGATCATTCTGGTATAGCAAACAGTAAAAATGGTAACCATTTTATTACACTTTAGGTGACAACAGTTACATGGACATCAGTGAAATTGTTTCTCGCTCAAACTTCCCTGAAAGTTGGCTGTGGAAAGATCTAAAACTGCCTTCTTGCAATCAACACCAAACAAAATGGTAAGTCAACTGAAACCTATACACACAAAATAAATACACTGATAATTTCATTAATAACACCACCAGAATTTAAAGCTACACTTTACCTATCGGAGTGTAACACAATTTTCTATGTTTCAGTGACACCACATCAGTTGTGGAAAATGTTCCTTTACAAGACTCAATCACAACCTGGCAATTCATTGGCATTAGTCTGTCAAGAACTCATGGTGAAGATTCAATGATTAAACTCTGTCTTCAGTTTTAGTTGTATGTCTATAAAAGTCTTGTCTCCATCCACTCCTTACACATTTTTTTATCTCTGTTTCATCACTTGTATTTTGTATCTATCACATGCTTAAGGAATCTGTGTTGGCAATCCGTTAAAGATCATTGTCCGCAAGGAGTTCTTCATTGATCTCAGACTTCCCTACTCTGCTGTCAGAGGAGAGCAGATAGAAATTAAGGCAATCCTCCACAACTACAGCCCTGATTCTATCACCGTAAGTCTGAAAGAACTGGGAAACTGGGGCTAACTTTCTGCAATATCTACAATATTTAAATTCGCTTTTCCATTCACATTGATCTTCTAGAAAAGATTGTAAAGCCTTACATTTCTTTAAACTTGGGATGCACCATTGTTATGTAACCTAAAATAAAACTGATGATCTTTTCTATTCGCTCCGTGTGAGGTCATCATCGTTGATCAAGTACACATACCTCAGTCTCTTTCTCCATCTGTGTCTTGTTGTAAAGGTGCGTGTGGATCTGATTGAGGAGGAACATGTATGCAGCTCAGCTCATAAGCGTGGGAAGTATCGTCAGGAGGTTAAAGTTGGGTCCCTAACTACACGATCGGTACCCTTCATCATTATTCCCATGAAGGAAGGACAATATCGCATTGAGGTCAAAGCAGCTGTTAAAGACTCATCGCTCAATGCGGAACATTGAAGGATTGGCTGACGGGGTGGCTGGTAAGAGGAAACACAGTAGTGGGTTTAAAGCTTTTTATACCACATCAGAACTCAAGAACAACATAGAAGCACGTTCTGACCTGATCTCCCTGTCGGCAGGACGATGCCATTTGTCTGTGCTGTATAAAATCTTGACAAATTATGATTATTAAGATTATCAATTTTATGATCTGACAATGCTATGATTAAGTGTAAGTTAGGTTAAAGTACAAAACAATCTTGGTTAGGTTTAGGGAAAGTTCTAAGTTCTATGTTTTAATGTACATTAAAATACTCTGCTATGATGAACATTTTTTCCATACAAAAAAATGACAAGGGGCTGGAAGCTCTTTCTTTGATTCTGGATCTATGAATACCCTGCACACCACTACTTGCTAGGTTGACCAATGAAAGAGCAGGTAGCATCAAGATGGCTAGCATTAGAGAAAACATAGAGAGATAGAGAGAGAGAGATATAACTATGGCCTATATGTTTGAGCCTCAGTCAGACTCAGATGAGGAGACTGTTGGTGAGTAGTGTAATTAGCATCTTTTATTAGTTTAAGATGTTTGTTAGCTTGTAACTGGCAGTGGCTTTCACAGGGTCAATGCTTGTGAAACATATAATATCTGCTATGATGTTACAGTGTGTTCACATTGTCAGATTGTTATTACGCAGTACATGGTTGAAGGAAGATCCAACCTTCACTATGCCAGACCTGTCATTTTTAGGGCAAAGCCACTTTGGCCTTTAACAAATACAAATTATTCCGGCATCATGGCCAAGATGTAGGGCACCAATGCTAAAACCACCCAACAGTATATATAGCATATAAAAAATCAGCTTGAGCTTAATACAGCAGTAAAATGCAACATTAATTCAGCAGTAATATTAATACAAAAACATCATATATAATGATTTTTTTCAATACATTTTGCGATAATACTCACATAGTTTTACCGTAGTAAGGTTAAGAATGCAGAATTCATAGTAGCTGGTATTAATACTTTTACTCAATGGACCTAAATACTTCCCCAACCACTGGTTAGATGCTAACGTTAACTGTCTGAATTGTCTCTGGTTACAAATATATTTGTGGGAGAAATCTTGCAGGGCCAGTTCAAAACAAAGTCAATGCCAAACTTATTGTGTGGGTCGATCATTTTCTCTCTGTACTGACGGTTCGCTCTGTGCTGGAGGTTTCAGATTGCTTTGTTAGTCACATCTGATAGACAATGATTGGCTTTTAAATTTGTTACGTACACAATCTAGCTTGAACGGGTACAGTTGAATCAGATTTGAAGTGTACAGACATCTTCATCCTTCAGTAGAGAAATGTTAATACCTGTCTAGTCAAACCTTGCACAGATATAAAAGTCAGTAAAGTCAAGGTCTGACATTTTAGGGGACATAAACTAAGATACCTTTTTGAGTGGAGGGGATCTTTAAGGTTACAGGATTTTTGCCATCATGGTTACAATAATAACCATGTGGAGCGATTGTGGTCATGTTAAAACCAACATGGTTCATTGGAAATTGGAAATTAACAGCTTGAAAGACCAAGAAAGAATTGTACCAAGCCAGTCATATTGTATTTTCTTACACATCAGCATGTAAAGATTATTCAAAAATAATTGTGATTTCTAATGTTTTTTCCAACTGTTGTTTTTCAAGCCTCATGGTGTACTGGTTAAAACTCCTAAGAATGTAACTCTAGACCCAGCTAATAAAGGTGAAGGTGAGTTCACCCATTAAACAGCTACAGCTATTATACAGTACATTTAGTAATATATAATAATAATATATTTATCACTTGCTAACTAATCCCCCAACTTGTCCACTGTTTCTCCCTTCAGGTGGTACACAAAAAGTAATTATGAACAATGAAATTCCGAGGAAGGATGTGGCTCCAAACACACCTACTAGCACACAGATCTCTGTGACAGGTGAGATATAATGTATTTGGGCTTGTTATGTGATACAGCATCTGAACAATCACGTCTACATTGAATTAAATTTGTATTGTTCTTATTGGGAAATAACCACTTCACTGGTCATGGGGGACCTTTAGTTATTTCTTCCAGTTGATTTATAACATTTTGGTTTTTCTGTTTGTTCATACAGGAAGAGAACAAGTATCTGCACTTGTGGAGAATGCCATAAGTGGTAAATCAATGGGTAGTCTGATCTACCAGCCCTCAGGCTGTGGAGAGCAGACCATGATCCACATGACCCTGCCTGTCATTGCAACCACATATTTGGATAAAACCAACCAGTGGGAAGCTGTGGGTTTTGACAAACGCAAGGAAGCCCTCCAACACATCAAAACTGGTAGGCCAGATGTATCATCCTCTGTTTGGAATTGGTAAAGTTTCTGACTTGGCAGGAGTGTCATATAAAAAGACAGTATGATAGACAGCAATGCACGCTACCACTGCACCAATCCAAGTGAGTGACAATGAAAATAAATGGGGTCAATACAACACAGATAGACTACAACCATTTTCAAACAAATTTTCTTATTCAAACAAAAACCTATGCTATGCCTGGAAATATGCTATAATCACAGACAAAATATGCACGCTTCAGTAGAGCAATAAATGGCAGTCAGTGAAGAGGTTGTGTGTTTTTGTTTGTGTCCAGGCTATGAGCTTGAGCTTACCTATCGTAAAAAGGATGGATCTTTTTCTGTGTGGACTCATCGCCCAAGTAGCACCTGGTGAGGCATCTCAACATTTATGAACTCATATGTACTTATTCACACATCTTCCCTAAATTTAAATTCTGAGTATGTATTTCATGTGCAAATAAAAAACAAAACTATCACACAACCTCTCCTCTGCTCTCTAAGGCTGACAGCGTATGTTGCCAAGGTGTTTGCCATGGCCAAAGATCTGATCACAGTGCAAAACCACGTCATCTGTGACGCTGTAAAGTTTCTGATTCTGAATGCACAGCAACCTGATGGCATATTTAAAGAAGTTGGACGTGTGTACCACGGAGAGATGATTGTGCGTTCATTGCTTTCATTAACATCAATTCCTCATCTTGATGATACAAAAATAGCTAATCAATATGAAAACAATTACATGTCACTGACTATCATCTTCAAAACATGTTTGTGTGTGTGTGTGTGTGTGTGTGTGTGTGTGTATGTGTAGGGTGATGTTCAAGGCACAGATTCGGATGCCTCCATGACAGCCTTCTGCCTCATTACCATGCAGGAGTCACGGACAATATGTGATGCCACAGTAAATGTGAGTACCTCAACTTAATATATGTGTAGTGTGTATGTGCACATGCCACACTGGTGACTTGCAAAACAAAGCACTGAACCACTATTATGCAACTGACCATTTGCTTAGTCCCAACCCCCTTGTTACTGTTGCTACTACCTTCAAGCTGTCTGTTCTCACATGGTACATAATGCAGTGTATCATGGTAACAAGGGCATATTTAAAGGTCAAGTGTGTAAGATTTGATGGAATATAATATTCATAGGTGTGTTTTGTTTTATACCTTTGACTCTTAGACGAATAGGCCAGTTAATATAAAAGGGGACATAAAAAAAAATCAAAAGAAATTAAATAATTAGTGGATAATCACTTGAATGAGACGTTTATATCTACAGAGGGCTCTTCCAAAAGCTAGTTAAACA